CTCCTCCTCCTCCTCCTTCTCCTCCTCCTCCTCCTCCTCCTTCTCCTCCTCCTCCGTCTCCTCCTCCTCCTCGATCTTGTGCCTCGGTCCGACTGCACTCCGCTGGCCCAGCTCCCGCCGGCGCCTCCATCCTCTGCTGCAGCAGGGGCCCGTCCTCCAGGAGCAGCAGCACGAGGCTGGCCACCATCTGCGGCAGGCCGTCGAAGGCCGCGGGCCGGGCCATCCGGAGCAAGAGCCTCAGGCCTCCACCAGGGGAAGGCGGGGGGGGGGGCCGGACGTCGTCGACGTAGTCGTCGCCGACGACGGCGACGACGACGACGACGACGATGGCGACGGCGACAACGCCGACAACGACGGCGACGACGACGACGACGACGACGGCGGCGACGGCGACGACGGCGACGACGACGGCGACGACGACGGCGACGACGGCGACGGCGGCAAAGACGAAGACGACGACGATGACGACGACGACGACGACGACGATGACGACGCCGCCGACGATGACAACGAAAACAACGACGAAGACAAAGACAACGACGACGAAGACGACGACGACGATGACGACGATGACGACGATGACGACGACGACGGCGACGACGGCGACAAAGACGAAGACGAAGACGACGACGACGACGACGACGACGACGACGACGACGACGACGGCGACGACGACGACGACGACGACGACGAGGGCGACGACGGCGACAACGGCGACAAAGACGAAGACGAAGACGACGACGACGACGACGAACACGACGACGACGACGACGACGACGACGACGGCGACAACGACGACGGCGACAACGGTGGCGGCGGTGGCGGCGTCGGCGTCGGCGTCGGCGGCGGCGGCGGCGGCGTCGGCGCCGACGCCGTCGACGTCTTCGTTTCGGAGGTTTGGCGGGGCGTTCCTGGAGGTTCTCGTCGCCACGGCTGGGAGCAACACACCAAGAACTGGCCAGGATGGGCCCTGGGAGGGGCCTGGCGAGCACTTTTGCGCCGAGCTTGGTCAGGGCCCCCGCAAGGTTCGAGGCTCGGGGTATGGTAGGGATGGAACCCTTGGGCCTTGGCATCGCGGGATAAAAAATACGAAAAACAACAGCAACAACAACAAAAACAAAAACAACAGCAAAAACAACAACAACAACAACAACAACAAAAACGCAATGATCTTTCTCGCCCTGGTGACGGGACCCCAGGGCCCTCTCGGGTCGATCCAACTCAAGAAATATGCGTTTGAAATACGGCGCCGGGAACTCCACCAGCGTTGTTGTGCTCTGACGACGTCGGACCTCGGGTGAAGGTGAGAGGTGAGCAGTGGAAAGCGAGGGCGGGAAAGGGAGAGTGGAAGGTCGAAGGCCAAAGCCGGAGAGCCGAAAGTCGAAGGCCAAATCCAGTGGAAGGAGGCGAAAGGTGGAAGATGCAGGTGGCAGGAGGAATGCGCAAGGCAGAGTCTGGAGAGTGTAAAAGGCGGAAGGCGATAGGTCGAGAATGGCAGGTCAAAGGTGGAGGGCGGAAGGTGGAAGGTAGACACGGTGGGAAAAGGAAGAGCGGAGGGAGAGATGAAAGGAAAAGGGGGCGGGGGTGGATGGGGAAGCAGGAACGGCCGAGAGTGGCAAGAGGAAGATGATCATGACAGAGAATAAGAGAGACAAAAAGAAAAATAGAGGGATAGAGAGAGAGACAGACAGACAGACAGAGAGACAGAGAGCTAGAGAGAGAGAGAGATGGAAGCTCGAAACGGAAAAAGAGAGAGATAGAGGAAAAATATAGATACATTTATATATACACAGAGAGAGAGAGAGATAGAGAGAGAGAGACAGGGACAGAGACAGAAAGAGAGAGAGGGAAAAACTTTGGGCCCATGGCCTGGCGCAGCCAGCAAAATGTGGAATATGGAAAAGGCTAAGCCGACCAGCATCGGCGAGCTCAAGACGTGTACGGAGCAGAGGAAGAAGGAAGAGGGGAGAAGGAGGAGGATGCACTGAGCCAGTGAGATGGTTGCCCTGATCATCTTCATCTCCCGCGACCCGTCATCGCACTTTTTGGCGCGCACAAACCTTCAATGACAAAGCAGAGAGCAGGCACAGGGTATCTGCATGCACCTCCGCCTTCTCGCCCTTGCAAGTGGCGCGCCAGCTCCGCACACTCTGATTCGCCAGACTGCCGAACGTTGGCACGGCGACGATGTCCTGGCCAGGACTGGACGTGGACGAAGCACCATCACCGCTATGCACGGCGAACGAGCCCGCCGCGCATGTCGCCCACGCTGTCGGCGGCACGTTGGGCCGATGGACGGGCGCATCCGCTCAAAGGCGCATGGCGGTGGGGCCAGGTTGCCGGCCTCGTACGCGAGTGACCGTGCCTACTTGCAGCGAGTCGGGATGTCCTCGTGCACATCCGTGCACGCGCCGATGGCGCTCTGCGTGCCCAACAGCAGCCCATCTACCTCCGAGGGGAGAGGGGGGAGAAGGAGCGGGAGGAGGCGGACGACGACGAGGACGGCGAGGACGAGCGGGGAGGGAGGGCCTCCAGCGACATCGTGGCCCTGCTTCTCCGGCGAGGGGTCCCTGGCGAAGTCCAGGAACGCCCTCGCACCAACCGTCGTGGAGCACAGGTGGGTGAGCACCTCGGGCGTCGTCGTCGGTGCGTCGTCGTGGTCGTCGTCGCCGTCCTCCTCCTCCTCCTCCTCCTCCTCCTCCTCCTCCTCGTCGCCGCCGTCTTCGCCACCGCCGCAACCGCCACCGTCGTCGGCGCCGCCGTGTCCGTCGCTGCCACCCCCGTCGCCGTCGTGGGGCAGCACGGACTCGTTCGAGATGGCTGGCTCTTCTCCGCCCTCCTCCGTCTCCACCTCATGTTCTCTGAGTTCTTTGCCGCTGTCATCAAAGTTGCCACCACCACAACCACCACCATCATCATCATCATCATCATCATCATCATCATCATCATCATCATCATCATCATCATCATCATCATCATCATCATCAGCATCAGCATCAGCATCAGCATCAGCATCCTCATCCTCATCCTCATCCTCAGCATCATCATCATCATCATCATCAGCATCAGCATCAGCATCATCAGCATCATCATCAATCATCATCATCATCATCAGCATCATCATCATCATCATCATCATCATCATCATCATCATCATCATCATCATCAGCATCATCATCATCATCATCATCATCATCGGCATCATCAGCAGCAGCATCATCATTATTAACAGCATCATCATAATCAACATCAGCATCATCATCATCATCAGCAGCAGCATCAGCATCAGCATCAGCATCAGCATCATCATCATCGGCATCATCAGAATCATCAGCATCATCATCATCAGCATCAGCATCATCATCATCGGCATCATCAGAATCATCAGCATCATCATCATCAGCATCAGCATCATCATTAATCACAGCATCATCATAATCAGCATCAGCATCATCATCATCGGCAGCTGCATCAGCATCAGCATCAGCATCAGCATCAGCATCATCATCAGCATCAGCATCATAAGCATAACCACCATCATCAGCATCATCAGCATCATCATCAGCATCAGCATCATCACCATCACCATCGCCATCACCAGCATCAGCATTAACATGTTCCTCATCATCCTCGTCATCATCATCGGCAGCATCATCAGCAGCATCAGCATCGTCATCATCATCGCCATCGTCATCATCGTCGTCGTCAGGTCGTAGTTGTCGTCGTCAAGTCATCGTCGTCGTCGCCGCCGTCGTCGTCGTCGTTGTGTTCGTCGTCGTCGTCGCTATCTTCGTCGTCGTCGTTGTGTTCGTCGTCGTTGACGACGCCATCGTCGTGGTCATCGTCATCGTCATCGTCATCGTCATCATCAGTATCGTCACAACCACCATCATCATCAGCGACAGCACCATCATCATCACCAGCATCAGCAGCCGCACCCTCAGTTCAGTCAGATGCGATGGCCCGCCTCCCCCTCCAGCTCGTCGGTGTCACCCTTCTCCTCCTCATCCTCCTCCTCCTCTTCCTCCTCCTCCTCCTCAATTTTCCTCGTCCATCCTCCAGCCTCCATCGTCCACCCTCCATCCTCGTCCTCCTCCACCTTCCCATCTCCTCCTCCTCCTCCTCCACCTCCTCCTCCTCCTCCACCTCCTCCTCCTCCTCCTCCTCCTCCGCCTCCTCCTCCTCCTCCTCCTCCTCCGCCTCCTCCTCCTCCTCCTCCTCCTCCTCCTCCTCCTCCTCCTCCTCCTCCCCCTCCCACGACCAGCGCGCGCGCCCCACAGCTCCGACAGGGACCACTGTGAAACACCAAGCCTCATTCTCCAGCTCTCCTCCCCCTCCCGCCTCCGCCCTTTCGGGGGGCGCCACCTGATCACCTCACCGATCATGGCCAAGCCAATCCTGGGCCTGGCATCGGAATCGACGCCCTGCTAGCTTCGCCAGGGGAGCACGTACACCGATCCTGGGCCCAAGACTGGCCAAGCCAGGATCGGTGAGGTGGTCAGTCGACGCCCCCCCGACCATTCCGAGCCCCCGCACCTGGAGGCAGGCCAGGGCCAGGCCGGAGTCCATCTCCGGGTAGGCGAGCACGATCCCCAGGACGCCGTGCACGAGCTGCGTCTCCGGATTCGCGCGGCCCGCGGGCGCGCGCAGGCGCGGGCGCGCGCAGGCGCGGGCGCCCGGGCGCATGCGTGCGCGGGCGCGCGGGCGAATGCGTGCGCGGGCGCGCATGCGAGGGAGCAGGAGAAGGTCCAGGAGGAGGACGGAAGAGGGAGAGAAGAAGAGGGAAAGAGAAGAAAAGAGGCGGAGAGGAGGGAGGGAGCGAGGGAGGCAGAGAGGGA